GCTCAGGGCCACACAATTACAATCCTATTGAAGCTGCGCCCTGAGAATACACCCGTCACACCCACCCCACCAAGACTGGCCTTCTCAATTTCTGCCCAGCAAGGCTACTTCCTTCCTTTGCTTCGGGGAAGATGGTAGCTCATCTCTTGTAATAAGGTCCACATCTGAGACTGATGGGGATCGAAGATGTATTTTGTCCTCAGCTCTGGCCAAACAAATAAAATAACTCTCTAATAACATTCGGTACGGAAGACAGAATGTTTCCTGGGGCTGTTTGGATCATGTCTTATTTGAAACTGGTCTTTTAGTGTTATTTTCTCCTTGCTCTCACTGGAACTGAATGGGACTGAAGGCAGGATCGCTGCTTCCTCTCAAGTGACCATGCTGGGACAGCACTGGTTCCAACTTGAGAAAATCTATGCTAGAACCTTAGCCTGTGTGCCCAGGAGTAACAAGGAAGGAGAAAAGAGGCTTTCAGACAGACCCTGTCACTCAGAAGGGAAAGGGCTCCAGGGCCCACCCCCCAGATTTACCTTCAGGTGAGCCAGATGCCTGACTGCTGCCACCACCCAGTAGATGGGTGACGCTAACCGGCGCACCCAATGAGACAACATCCAAGGCAGGGCTCTGCAAACTCCGAAGGGTTAAGTAAGTTGAACATTAGTATTCTTCTCCCATTTCGAAGCTAAGGCGCAATTACTTTTTTTTTTTTAGTTTATTTTTGAGAAACGGTGGAGGGGGCAATGAGAGAGACTCCAAAGCAGGCTCTGCTGTCAGTGTAGAGCCTGACACAGGGCTTGAACTTACAAACTGTGAGATCATGACCCGAGCTGAACCAAGAGTTGGATGCTCAACTGACGACGCCACCCCAGGTGTCCTGCAATTACTTTTTAAAGTACACATTCTTATAAGATTACCTTGGCAGCATAAAACACTGTTTACTAGGATTCAGAGAAAAGTACCATCCAATGGTCTTCAAAGGTATACAAATAAATGAGTATGAGCCTCCAACCAACATTTATGGCCATAGGTTATATTGACAGTGACTCTATCTCTGTATCCATTCCACCTTTTCACATAGCACTCCATGTGGTACCTAGGATGGCACTCCTAGCTGGAAGGAATAGACAGCTTTCACTTCCAGAAGACGCTGCCACCCTCATCCCAGGCACCTTCACAAAAACCCATCCCTGAGAACCTTAGATTTCCCCAGATTCACACTAGCAACAGAATGAATGCCTTTCTATTCCTATTCCCCAGATTGCTGCTATGGGTCTATGGGCACGTGAGAAAGACAATGATGAGGGAACCATATGTCCACAGAGGTTTGTTAAACACCACCACGCAGAACCGCATGGCTGAAACAGTGGGGTAGGAGCTGCCATCCAGAGGCCTGTCCTGCAAAATGGGATCCGTCTGTCTTCACCAGGGAACTATAATAAATGAGCAAAGACAGACACTGGTCAGGACAAGCCTCTTTATTTAAGAGCTTTGACAGCCTAAAGTGGTTTAATATAGAGGCATGGAAGATTTATCTGGATGATAAAATACTTGAACTTGAAAGGCACATAAATTATAATTTTGCAGGGTTTTTTCCTTTTAAGATTTCATATAGTCAAAGGCTTTAAGTAATGAATGAAATGCACATAACGCTGACTTCATTTCACACACCCTGTCTCGTTAGTGTCTGCAGAGTCTTGGCTTCTAGATGGGACTGAGTTCAGAGTCAATGCCACCCACCTGTGTCTGTGGCCTTCTGTTTCCACATCACAGGGGATAGCATTTGGAAGACTGATAAATAGCAAAATAACAACAGCAACATTGGTGACTGAGCACTCACTATACCACGGTCTGTGCACTGAGGACTACACTTCATATACTTACAGGTGAGCATTACTTACTACTCATAAGAGCCCTATGATTAGCTACTATTGTCCCTTTTGACCTCAAGCTTTCTCATTAAGTTCTTCTTTCCAGCTTGTCTCTTAACTAGGCAAGAGACCCTGCAGGAAAGCATCCCTTGATGGAACCAAGACTACCCTGCCCCCTCAGGCAATAAGGAAGCCCTGAGCCAGCAAGACCCCATGTGACTGACTCCAGGACAATGATGGACATGACCTTAGCTGCCCACCTACATACACCCACCCACCTTTATCCCACATTTTCCTTATATAAACCTGGAGGTATTTTTGGCACTTGGGCAACAATCTTCAAGACACTAGTCTGCTCTCTTCCTGGTGTTGGCATAACTGAAATAAATGTCCTTTCTTGCTTCACCACCACTCCACTCTCTGCCTTTGGATTTTGTCAACAATGAGTGGTCCAGCCTGGTCTGCTTGGGGCCCTTGGAGCCAGATGCTCTTGTCTCCCTGCACCCTGGCTACACAATGGTTCCCATTTTCCGGACGCAAAAACTGAGCTATAGAGAGCTTCTGTGAGGTCACACGAGCAATTTAATCGGACTCCAACACTGCAGCGTTCACCACTACACTGCAAAGTGCATGAAAATAAGTACTTGGCCCTTAGCAAGTACTTGAAAACTCTTTTGCCTTATCTTCATACTCTTTTTTTTTTTAACTAAACACTTGAACACAGGGAATTTTGCCTTATGGGTTTATGTTCATTCATTCATCCATCACCATTCATTCTGGACCCAGAACTCTGCTGGATGCAAGATTTACAGGATAGGATTCTCCAGCTTCTAGACCAGTCTCAGGCGATTACCATACCCATATGAAGGTTAGGGCAGGATGGAGCAGGGACAGCCCCTCACAGGGGACCCATAACGAGCTGTGGGTTTGACACAATCCAAACAAGACAATTTTAGATCTTTTTCACTCTGGCCCCTACCCCCTCCCTTAACCTGGAACTTTCCTGGTGTTTCTTTGACCAGAGTCTTCAAAGACCTCAAACTCCCCAGGTCCCCCAAGAGGACTGTTATCATGCAGAACACTCCCTTCTCCTGTCCCCGCTGAAGCTTTCCGGTAAAACCAGTGCCACAGATAACACAGCTCCTCAGCTAATCACTCAGCACAGACCCTCAGAGCCAGCCCCTTGCCCCCACCTCTCACCCTACCCCTGCCTTGTTTCACCAATTTTTGCCCCAAATAAGGAATAATAACAATAGCAGCAACAGTAGTAACTTCCTACATGCCAGGCACTGCTCAATGTACTTTTGGGACACTATCTCATTAAATCCCTTCATAACCCTCTACCCTGAACACTGGTACTCTTCCTATCTTAGTTCACTTAGGGGAAGAGGGAGGGAGGTACTATTTCTTTAGGGCCAACTGTATGCCAAACACTGTTAAGCTTGCACAATCAGATGGTAAGTCAGTCGCCTGTGCAGGGGTGGTCACAGAGCTGGGAAGTAAGGAATAAGAATGTGAAGCCAGGTCTGTGACTGCCTGGTCTAACGATTCCCTTCCCTCCTCTGTGGCTGGCACTGCTGCGGTTTGCAAGGGAAGCCGAGTGGCCGTACAAAGACAGCCCTCTCTCCCTCTTCCTCCAGCACCCTCTGTTAACATCTGTCCTGTTTATTACCACCACCCACGAAAGGTGTCGGACTCCTCTCTCAACTGTGTCCCCCCCACACTCTGGGCCTCCCAGCCAGTTTTCATGGAGCAAATCCTAGTCTACACCAACAGTGTAAACAGAGGTGTAGAAGAAGAAACTGAGATCCTTCAAACCAATAAAGCACACCAAGATAATAGGTGTTTCCTGAAGCACCCAACCCCCTCTTAAATCCCTGGGGTTTCCAGATCTGAGGGGTCCTCAGCTGGGGATCCCTAGGTTACTGCCTCTGGGGAGTTTTATGGCCAGTTGTCAGGGGTGACACCACCCATGAGACTGAGCCTGTAACTATGCTGCAGAGCGTGAGCCTTATGCTCTGGGGGCTCATGGAACTGGCAGTAACAGGTGAGGCTTTCTGAGAAATGGTGACCCGGCCAGAAGCAGAGGGTCGCTCCCCAGCAAGGCCAGACGGTCAGAAGCCCACCTCTGGGCTCCCAAGCACTGAGCCCACCAGGCTGAAACTCGGTTTACTTTGCCTGGCCCACCGTACAGGGGCTCCAGGAAGGCAGGCCGGAGGCAGATTTCTCACCGAACTCTCAGAAGCTATAAAAAGGGAGTACTAGTTAAATGCTTCCAGAACAAATCACCAAACATGGCATCATTTTAGAGACAAGGCTGCTTGAGAGACTCTACTCAGGCTAAGGAACAGGACTCCAGGAGAGGGGAAGTGAGTTTGCTCAGAGGCGGGCACACTCTTTAGTCCAGATCAGCATCCTGCTCCATCCAGAAACGTTTTCTAATTTACTTCACTTACTCACACCTGGGAACACCACTTAGCCATGTAAGTTGAATGCCCCAGTCTTCAGTGCCCAGACACCCCATTTAACAGAGCAGAAAGTTCAGGAATTGGCTTCCCCCCAGCTCTCTGCAGGCAGGCCTCACAGACCCTCCTTTCCTCACACAAGCCACCGTTCTCTCCTAACACAGTGTCCGCTCTGTTCTCCACCCTGGAATCCACTCATGCTGAAGTTTGCGCTCCTGCATCCTTCACAGATGGGCCCGCCGGTGAAATGCTCTCGGGCACCCTGCCCTTCTATCTTCACAGCTCTCACACAGGTCTTTCCCACTACACTGCGAGCTCCACCACAGTTGGCACCACGTTCGTTCCCCCACCTCTGTATGCCCAGCACTTGGCCCAGTGGCGGCCACTCGGTGGCACACGGTAAGTCTCTGCAGGCTGCCAGAGTGGGAAAGGTGGGATCCAAACTCGTGTCTGCCGAGCTCGGGTCGGAGCCAAATGGTACTAAGGGTTACAGTGACCACGCTGCGGCGAGAATGGGGGGCGCGCGGGTGCGCTGGGGAGGCATTATGTTGTCCCACCCACCAAAGCCTACTGCCGGGCTCCGCACCCCAGCCGCCACCTGTAGCCACCGCGCCCAGGGGTGGCCCGGGGGCCGCAAGGGCAAAAACGGGCCGGTGGTGCTTACCTGCGCGTGGCGGGGCTCCGCAGAGGCACTCTGTGAGCCTCGGAGGACTGCCAAGACTGGGGTATCCGGCTTGGCCCGCCCGCGGCCCTGCAGCTGAGGACCGCGCGGGACGGCGCCTGGTTTCGCCGCGCAAGGCCCTCTGCGGCCTGGGTGCTCCGCGGAGAGCAGAGCCGGGCCCGGCCCGCCCCTGCGCGGGGGTGGGGCGGGTCTAACGCGAATTTGACCCCGCGCTCCCGGGGCGCCCCGCCGTGGGCGGAGTCAGAGGTAAACTTAGCTCGGCGCCCCGCCCCCTCGGTGAGGGCGGTCCCTAAGGGGCCCAGGCACTGCGTCCCGCCCCTTTGCTCCAGGCCCCGCCCCCTCGCCCCACCCCAACCCCCAATCTGCACTCACCCGCTAGCTCCTTTGTGTGTGCCCCTTTGCTTTTTATTTTCCTATATTGTATTCCATTTTATTTCTTATTTTTGTATTTTTAAGAGATCGAATTAAAAATATATCAAACTAATGCAGGAACACTCTTTACAAAACAAAGTTATCTAATGTTCTTATAATGAAAGCAACAAGCCCTTCTCCCTTGCTCCCCGCTCATAGCCCTTTATATCAGTTCCTCCGTTTAGTTCTTCTGTTGGTCACCCCCTTGTTGCTAAAAAAATAAGCTTACATAGCGATTTCTTGATTTATCTATTGACTTTCTGCCATGTTACATGAGGATTTACTCTCTTACTGTGCCCCTGCTTCCCTTCTCCTGACAAATTTACACCTCTATTCTCAGGTCCTGCCCTGGTGAGCTCTGAGACCTCAAGACAGGAGTGGAGGAAGGCTTTCTGGAACTGCAGCTAATACAATTGTGGGGGCAGGGAGAAAGGAGGGCTATATTAGACAGCTCTATAGCATTAAGGCTTGCAAACGACCATTTATTTGGAATAAGAAAATCCTGAGACCTTGGAAATTCAGGTCTCTACCCCCTGAGACCTTCTTATTTAATTTACTTGGTGAATTTGCTTCCCCAGCATGGACTATCTTTCCCTGCCCACACAGAAACCTCCATAAATCCCAGCCTTCTCAAGGGTCACGGGGTGAAGGTCAAGATTCATCCATTTCTGCCAATAGGATTTCTTAATGGAGTGAACCGGTGTGTGCAAAAATGAGACGTCAAGGATGATGTCAAGGTTTTGTGATTGCTGCACAGCTTTTCCTAGTATCAGCGACCAGTTCTTAACCTTAGAATGCAGACTGTTTTATAAAGCTGACTCGGGGCCCCTGCCCTGTCACCAGATCCTCTCAGTGCTCCCATGAGGTTGACTGGACTACCCACTGTCCCCACTTTAGGAGGGCTCAGACTTCTCCTTCTTGTATCAAAGCAGGAGGCACATAAGTAGCTCCCAGATAAGTGGCAAGGCAAAGGGGCTGGTAGCCCTTCCTCACTCAGATGGAAAAAAGTGTCCACACTCCCCTGACACCCCTTCTCTCCTCCCAGAGTTCAACTTTTCCCCTTCCTCTGCTCTGCCTTCCTTCTCTTCTGCTCACTCTCCTCTCTTTCCCTTGTCCAGCTCCTGAGGGCCAAGGACTTGGGAATAACTCTGAAGGTATGAAATGTGGCTGTACAAGGTCACCTTGAGCAAAATCCCTTTTTCAATTCAAGTTTGTTCCCTTCTCTGAATTGGAGGTAACAATCTCCACCACATTGAGCTTTAGGGGAGGATTAAGTGGTTTAATATCCATATATACAAGGGATTTTTTTTTCATTTTTTAAAACTATTTTTACTCACATATTTTAATGTTAAAATTAAATTTATTGAATATTAAAGTTAATCATTTTTTTCTTTTTATTGCTTCTGGATTTTGTGTCATACTTAGAGAGACTATTCATTTCCAGTCTAAGATTAAAAAAAATTTCAAGTATGATTACCTTTGTAATTCTCTTGTGTTCTCTTATTCATAACTCAGTTTGTCTCCTAGCAGAGTGGGAGACTCATGAGAAAGGTTAGGGACTTCTCTAAGAATCTGTGTGTAGCATGGTGGTACCATAGGTTGAATTAAAAATAAAGGGCTAAGTCGGGGTGCCTGGCGCCCCAGTCAGTGGAACATGCTACTCTTGATCTCAGGGTCTTAAGTTTGAGCCTTATGTTGGGTACAAGAGATTACTTAAAAAATTAAAATCAAGGGCTATGTCATGTTGAGTCAGGGTCCCGACCCTGGACACAAACAGTAAGAGGGACATGGGACATGAGACAGTGACTTCCCCATGGAAGGGACTCTTTTTTATCCTGGGGTAGAGAAGACTAAGGTCCTCTAGGAGGAAGTATGATTTCTGGGCACAAAATAGTATCTCCTAGTGGCAGGAAGTAAGAACCTCACATAAGAGCCACACTTATCCTAACCTAAGTAAGGGAGGGGCACGGGTTGAGAAATCCAACCTGGAGAGACAACTAGTTCCTAATATTAGAGGGGGGAATACATGTCAAGATGAGAGTCATGTCCTTTGCTTGAGGGCATGAAGTGCTGCTGTATTATGGGCTTAATGGGGATAAAATATTTGGTAAGTTTCACCTCTCCTGGATCCTATCACCATGATGGCTCAGGCAGGAGGAGGATTTCACATAGAAGGTGTCTCAGTTTGGATCCCTTGGAAGCAGATCCTGAGACAAGGATTCAAGTGCAAGCAGCCGATTTGGGGGATACAGGGAACACCAGCAGAAGAATAGAGGATGAAGAGTGGAGGGAAGAAAAGGCAGGATGCATTGTTCAGCCAGCTACTAGAACAGGTGATTGGAGCTTAATCCTGTGGAAAAACCCTAGAAGTTGTTAAAGAACATGCCTCAGAATTATCCCACCCAAGGCTATAAATGGGAGGTCTCTAAAGGGAAAAAAACTGCAATGGACAGATTAGCTCATCTTTGAACATTTTTCAGACTATTTCCAGGCATAAAAATGTGATTACCCAGTGAGATCAAGCTGTATCTCTGTCTGCATTTTCCTTCTATCACCTAACGGTGTTCTGACAAAGCTTAAGTAGAAGAATTTGTAGCAGTAATCAATGTGCAGATGGCTGAGAGTCAGTGCCTCAGGCCTAGAAGTGTGTCCTGAGAACATTCTGGAAAATCTCCTCTTGGACAGATTATGATAAGACTCTATCTGAGTCAGCCTCTACATTTAAATGAGCCCATAACCTTGACTTGTGAGTTCTCGCAAGAAAGGGCACACTTTGACTGAGTAAAAGTAACATGTAAAAAGGGACTGGTGGACTTTTAAAATGACCAAAGAGGGCAAACTTTTCAATCACTGTAAGTACTTCAGAAGATGGGTTTTTTCTCACAAGCAGTGAACAGATAATGTCAATGCCAAGTCTTTCTTGTGTGGCCTCGCAAGCAGGATTCCATGAGAAAACTGTCATTTATCAACGTGGCTTCATCAACCATACTTACTATTGAACTAAAGTGATCCTTTGGAAACATGCAACAGTTCCCAGCATGCCTCTGGCTCAGAAGCCCTCAGTGGCTTCTGCCCCAATTAGGGTCAAATTCCAAGTCCTTCTCAATGGCCTCCAAGGCCCTCATGAGATCTGCCCCAACAAACTCTTCCTGACGTTGTCTCCTGACAATGACCACTGGGCATTCCTCACCTCTGGTCTTCTTGGCTTTGCTGTTGTTGCTTGAACACACTGGATCTGTTTGCACCCCAGAGTTACTGCACTGCTGTTCTTGCTGATTGAAATGCTACCCTCCCCCGACTCTTAAGGTAACTTGCCCAACTCATCAGCTTTCTACTAGACCACTACCTAACCAACAAACACTGCATACTGCCCCATACACACCACTTATTAGCTGTCATTGGAACATATTTTTATTTATTATTTGCATAATAAATAAGTATGAGGTCCAAAAAGAGCTGAGTCTTTACATAGATATTGTTCCCTGATATATCCCCACACTTAGAACAAACAGTGCCTGCTGCCTGGTAGGTATTTAATAAATATTTGTTGGATGACTCAACCAGTTGAATTGAGTGAATGAAAAATATAAACAAAATCAGTAAATACATAGTTCAAAAATATTCTAGAATGCAGACTTTCAACTAATCTAGAATGGATTCCTCTCAAAAAGTTGTAGGAGTGGAGAAAGAAAAAATAAAATGAAGTGGATGAGAGGCATGATATAATCGGACTCATAATCACAGGTGAGTATTGGGTTAAAGACCTTTGCTATTTTGTCTTTGACCTGATGTCTGTGTTAAATATTTAAGAAAGGGCTAGCCTGAAAGGCTACATACTCATTTAAAAGTGCCAAGAAGGAAAAGGATTCCCCTAGTTATTTTAATAATTCAGAATGGTGTTCTGTGGCTTCTGTTGGCATTTGAGAACCCACGACGGTAACTGCTTACCTGAAAACAGAGGCCTTGATCAAATATTTAAGATCTCACTTATTTTCATTTTCTGCATATTTTTTATGCCCGTGTCTCTCTTCTTTTTACCCATTCTGCAGCTGCACAATTCACACACTAAAGCTAATAGAAATGTTTCATGGATTATTAAATGCAGCTAAGCAATGAGCTTTTGCTAGAACATAAGGCCAAACTGAGGCCACTTTCCCATTCTAACAAGCTAATTTTTCCTTGAAGGTACAGCCTATGAATTTACAGAGGCCTCTCCCCTGTATTCCAAAATTTTTAAGGCAGTTGCATGTGTGCTGCAAAAAGATTTCGAAGTGGAAAACAAAGACAGCTTTTACAGTAGTGCGGTTAAGTGGTCTTAGAATCAAGAACAGTGGAAGTCATAGAATTAGTAAGTGGACCCTTGAAATTATGGCAAGACGACACTAAGTGGTATATGTTTGCTAATGGAAATATTGCACTCTGGTGCCACCAGCAGTGAGCTGGGCTTGCGTTAGTGTCTACCTAGGCTTAATTGCCTAAAGTATGTTCCAGTACCAGTACCCCAGTGCTGTAAATTATCTTTTCTAATGGAGCTTTTATATTGTACTCCTGTAGCTAAAACTCTAATTCAGGTTTTGATATCTGTCTGGGCCCACTTGGTACAAAGAAGTCCTCTGAGGGAGGTCAAAGTCATAATACATTGTTCACAATGGAAAGCACTTTAAGAATGCTCCTCATTTTTCAATGAGGAGAGAGTGCCCGAAGAGGTTAGGTGATTTGCTTAAGACCACACACAGCTGGTCAGAGATGGGGC